CGCTTCAAACAGTTCCAAGGACAAAGTTTGTGACCAAGAGTAACTTATTTCTGCTCTTAGGATAAATGAGGAATGTCAAAGCTGTGGTAGTTTTTACAGGGAATAACTGATATAAATTATTCCACCAGATGTGCTCCCAGACCCCTTGCATAGGAAGATTAGGAGGGTCATTCTTTGTACTTCCAGGGGATCTAAGGAAATATTTAGACTCTTCTCTGATATTGGAGAAATTATTGTCACATTCAAAGGGGATTAAATAAGGGAATTATTTCATTCTTGTCCCTTATTCTTTGTTCTTTTGTTGATAAAATGATTAGAGGAAAGCAGAGGGGATTAATATGCTTATTTGTTCAGATTACCCAGTTAAAAGGTCATGAATTTTATACTAAGATTATTTTCCATAATTGAGCTGCTCGAAGGTAGGAATACCAAAAGCCGTGTTAATGAGTTAAACAATAAAATGCTTTATTATTAAACTCTATACAAATAAACAAGGTTATTTTGTGTAATGAAAACAATGCTGTCATACGTTAGCACATACAGTAAAGGTATTAGGAGTAGGAAACCTTTGAATTCCATGTATTAAGTGTGCTGTTGTTCCCTTTTAGGAGATTGTAAGAACAATGCTCTTGTATCAGGAGCTATTCAAGTAAATGGCCATGGAGGACAGCCATCAAAACTTGTGAAGAGAGGACCTGGAAGGAAACCTAAGATAGAAGTTAATACCAATAGTGGTGAAATTATACAGAAGAAAAGGGGTAGAAAGCCCAAAAAGCTACAGTATGCAAAACCAGAAAATTCAGAGCAAAATAATATACATCCCATCAGAGATGAAGTGGTTCCTTCTTCAACATGCAATTTTCTTTCTGAAACTAACATTGTAAAGGAGGATTTGTTACAGAAAAAGAGTCGTGGAGGCAGAAAACCTAAAAGGAAGATGAAGACACAAAAACCAGATTCAGATCTCATAGTTCCTGCAAATGTTAAAGTACTAAGGAGAAGTAACCGAAAAAAGACAGATGATCCTATAGATGAGGAAGAAGAGTTTGAAGAACTCAAAGGCTCTGAACCCCACATGAGAACTAGAAACCAAGGTCGAAGGACAGCTTTCTATAATGAGGATGACTCTGAAGAGGAGCAAAGGCAGCTGTTGTTCGAAGACACCTCTTTGACTTTTGGAACTTCTAGTAGAGGACGAGTCCGAAAGTTGACTGAAAAAGCAAAAGCTAATTTAATTGGTTGGTAACTTGTACCAAAATATTTTACTTCAAAAATCTATAAAGCAGGTACAGTTAAGGAACAAGGAGAACTAAGGCTTCTGCTTCCTTGCTGCTATGGTGAATTAGGGAATGTTATAATTTGATTTGCAAAAAAAAAAAAAAAAAAAAAACAAGACACTTCACCCCCATTTTATCCAAAATGTTATCATTTTAACATATAATCAATATTTTAAAAGATACACTGCTTCAGTATTCAAATTGGAATTTAATTGAAAATTCAGTTCCATAGTTGTATAAGTACTTTTCAAGTGCT